TTCACCGAAAAGGCTGAGAAGGCTTCAAACAGTGTGCACGCTCCTTCTCGCCGACACGCCCCTATCAAGTGCAAGGATGACGACTGTACGTCATCGCGGACCGCTCCTTTAGGCTGTGGATGGTAAAAGAGGTCTTTTCGGTTACAGGAGTTTATAGATCTTGAAAAGTGACCTGAACAATCTTCGCTGAGAACCATTTCGTGCCCCCACCAAGCCGAATGGAACAACATGAGGGATCCTCCCACAATCAATCATTCCGATTTTCATTGTATAAGCTTTATAGTAGACGCTTGTGCTCCCAACCGGCCCTTTGATTCTTTTCAGTTGCGAATGAGGCCGTCACGAGGAGCGGAATGCAGATGCAGTTTTACTTGGGTCTGCACACAACAGTCTGCTTCCGACTTGAAGAAGGCGTCGCCATCGCTTCCAATCACACCGACCACCTCTTCCAGACGCAGTCACAACGCCCATCCTCTTGGCTTCATACTGTCCGGCTCGATCGACTTGAGCACCACCATCCCGTTTGTATTTTTCGCTTTCTTTTTTTAAACCCGTAGTCTTTTCCCCTAAAATGACCGAAAGTATTCCAGGTAACCCAGCGATATCAGTTCGGCATTCCAGAAGTGAGAGCGATTGCATCTGTGAATGCAACGCTGCTTCTGAAAGTTGTACTGCAGAGTCGCATCAGTACACCCAATGCCCTGAAGACCCCAATCGGGACTTTGTAAGTTTGCAAAGGGTAGTCTTTTTCATAGTTTTCCTTGGAGTGCAATGGGAGAGACTTCGCTCAGCTTCCGTCTGAGGGCATAAGCGAGGCGGAAGCTGGGCTACCCCATTGCTTTCCACCCCTTCAAAATTTCTCATTTGTTCTATTTTTCAACTTAGTCTATTGATTTTTATTTTCAGTGATTCTTCTTTGTTCAGCTTACCTCATGCTATCGAACATTCCTCCCCAATCAGTCGCCAGTAGGATGTCCTGCCGGAAGTAATGCCAAGCTCTGTTGCGATGTGAAGTTTCGACCGTACAGGCGAGTATTACTCTTTTGAATTACTAATTTGTCAGTATTGGTCTGAACAGCCGCCAAACTATGTATGGGGAATAAAAATGGTGATTGTGACAAAGATGAGACTTTCATGAATTCCAATGTATCACCTTTTTTATAATCACCGTTTTTATAATGTTTTTGCAAAGAAGTTCCGGTACTCTTTGAAGATCGAATGGTCTGTTAATCAGTAAAACTAACCCTCACTTAATCTTACTTTCATTTGCAGGAATCAGACGTACACTGCAGTAAAAGTTGAGCAACCGTCAACTTTTGCCACATTTGTATATACCGCCTAACGCACAGTAATTGGTCGAGGCATGGAACAAGGATCGGCATACAATTTCAGAGTCGCAATTAGACGGACTCAGGAACCCAGGAAAGGTTAGGAAATTTTCCATAGCAGTGGAGGAGATTTGAAATCTTTGTGATCAGCGCAGCAGCGTTCGGACTTCGCGACGGCGGCTCTTCAGCCGCGCTTACGCTCGTCGCAAATAGTACTGCGTCGAGCCGCATCGACGTGCAGTGGCGCCACGCTAGCGCAAGCCGATCGCTCGCAACGGCACGACCGAAGCGACCCCATCGCGAAGTCTGAACGCGCCTCAGGCACATGCCGTATGTCCCCAAGTGAGAATTCCGTCGATCGCGAGCGTAATACAGATTGCAACCCTTTGAAATAGTGCGAGTGCACGTGTTCCTTGTCGCAGGAGTCAAATCTACCGCTGATAACCTAATCCGACTTCTTATTGCCTCTATAGCTTCTCTTAGAGAAGGCATGCTTCACCGTTGCATAAGGCTCGCGGTGAGGGCCGGACTCCGCCCCTGATGATCGCCTCGTGGACTGGTCCTTCAACAGGGTAGATCACAGTGATAGCTAGGACCCTTCTGCAACCAATATAATCGCCCAGCAGAAAGACACATCTGCTATTGGCAGTCCATGTAAGCCAGTAATGGAGGTTTCGAAACAAATAAACTCCAAGGCCTTAACGACGAAAAAACTTTCAAGACAACTATAAACATTGGCGAAAAGCAAAACCTCTTAGCACGTCAAAAATTAGGCCGAACTTCGGCAACAGCTGTAGTCGGAAGGAACGCTATCTGAATTTCGCTCCCCTAACGTGCACTTGGGACTGAATTCAGTAACCAACTAATAAACACTGCGAAATGAGGGCACGAATTTCCACTAGTGAATGGCGTGTTGAAGAAAATCCGATTGACGGGAAGTGCCGATACCTGAATAAGAGTAATATACATATAAAGCCTCGCAAGAGAGTTTCCACAGAAGAAATGCACCTGTACCACAACAACTATGCCTAGGTTTAGTGAGAGCCTAGCTTGCGAGAGCTATTGCTCTCGCCATCATAGATTCTAGATGAAGCATTTCTTTGATCTCTCTTTAGCTTCGATTCAAGAGCACGGGCTTCAAATGAAGTTCGCAGGCCGCTGACAGCAGGACTCAGTCATGCAGCAAGAAAAGCCTCGGCCTCAATGGCGTTCCTCCTACTTGCAGTTGATCGATGACACTGCTCGAGAATAATAGTTAGAGCGCAAAAAGGCGACGGTACTTGTTTTAGTAAAGCACCAGGAGATGAGAGACTGAAAACGGCGCTATCATGACCAGAGAGCAATCCAGACGGGAGTTTATCCGACTCTCATAATACCGCAGCTACTCGTCCCGTTTCATTTGCTAGTAAGAAGAGCATTTGCCATACCCAGCTAACCTTCTTGAGAAAGGTATTGGGTATTTTTCTAACTGCAAAACATACCTTAAGTTCGTTTACCTTTACACTATCGGTGGAACTGGGCAGTTTTCTAGCAGAGGGAACTTGCCTTTCTGCGTTCCCTAGGTTATCCACTGAATCCTTTACAACGTATAAGCTTGAAAAGTTGTGACTGCTTGTTCCTGAGAGAAACCTGCAAGCGGATCATTTGACTTTGATCAAATTTCGTACGGTGGAGACTCTTTGTGTTGAAGTCACCCCAGAACTTACACGACTAATCGCAAATGTACACATGCGTGATGGAGGGACGGCATGTTCGAAATTCTCCTCACGTAACCCCTGATCGCATCGCGACCGATTAAATTTTGATGTGCAAGTGCAAACCTAGAGGGCATGGATCTCTTCAAAGACCCGTCTCTACTGAACAGCTAATACAATTTGAAGCTAAGAAAACGGCAAGTAGATCTCCGCTTGAACGTTATCTTTCAGCCTCTCCAGACCTATCTCTTCAAAGTTCCCATTAGAAAACATGCTAGATAGAACTAAAAGATAGATTTTTGATTTCTAGATGCCAGGTAAAGCACTTCAATTTTAATCCGCAGCGCAGCAGCGAACTCTGCATAACAGTGCTTCCATACCATTTGAACGAATGAAAGGGGTCGTATTAACCTCTTTTTCAGGAGGGAGTTAGCCCATTTTTTCTATCTGCGCACGTGAGATAAAGATAGCGATTCCACCAGAAGATTTCTTTTCACCTTAGTAAATAGCACGCATTCGAGCTCGTCTAGGAAGTGGAGTAGGAGGAGAAGACGTGGTGTATCTCTAGGAACCTCTCAACGGAGTGTTCAAAACTGGAAAGTTATCTCGATTATCCTTTTCTGAACGAACTACTGAAAAGATGTGTCACAGCCTAAAAATTGTCTGTCAGAAGGGCATTCGAAAAGCGATCTCAGCGTTCTTTGATGTTTGTTTACTTTCCAAAAAAATGAATGGTAGTTAAGAGGTGTCTTCTATGAATCATTCCGTTCATCATATCGTAAATAATGGATATATAATATAGGGGGTGGATGTGACCATGAAAATATCGAAAATATCTGATAAATGTTTGTTACTAGAAGTTAGATAGGGCACAGTTCGGCGAGGGGAAGGGGCATTTTGCACTTTTGCCACTTCCCATGGACGTGTCGACCCATCTAGACAGCCTTTTCTTGAGTTGACAGGTTTCACCATTGTGGCTCGATGAGCTTGCTTCAG